TTAGAGATGTTACTATCGATTTGATCATAGTTTTGTGGGGAACTCTGGTGATGGTGGTAAGAGTTCCTATAGTGAAGTGGGGAAACACAAACACGACTCTTTTTAGTCCACGGTTGTTTAGGCTTTTTCTCTAGGTATGGGCCCAACTAATGGTGGAAGATCAAATGGGTATGGTTTTAGACCTGGTTTCTCCTCGGGTAATCCTTTTGTGGCTTTTGTTTCTGTTATGTCATTTGAACAACGATTGATGATGGTCGTTTTACTGTCAAATAAAATTTCTTATTCTTAGAATAAGTAAGGAAAAGAGAGTAGTAGAGATATTTGGAGTTTTTGATCTAGAATGCTTTTTGATTTGGTTTTGGGAAAAAATAAAAATAAAATGGAGGATTTTGTTTTGAAAAATTATAAAATAAAATAAGAATGAAATTAAGAAAATAATATAAGATAAAAATTTCATTATAATAAAAATAACCTCAAGTTTTTCTTTGCCTCAATTCAAATCGATCATCGAATAAGATTTTCACTTTGGATTAGTGTTGATTACAGTTTACAGGGCCCAACCCTGTAACTTGTTTCTCTCTCTTATAAACCAACAATCTAAAAGTTATCTTTGAATTCTAGTTCTTATGAGGACTAACTATGACTATTTCTGTTAACGCCATCTCAATTTGAAGTTTTGGAAAACTCGACTCAGACTATGTTGTCTCAATGAGAATCAAGCTCGATCCCAATTTCCCTTAGCAGACCGCCACTAAGTGTGCACATGAGATACCGATTGTCAATCCTATTTTCCAAAAAATTGAGAATATACCTCGAAGTATTAGGTATTTGTCAATTCTCACAATCAAAATTGAGTCATTGCTTCAGCCCTTGACTTATTAAAAAAAATTAACTAAGTATAAGAATCATACTTTGCATTTTAAAAAACAAAAACAAAAAGCTTGGAAAATAAAGAAAGAAAAAGAATTTTTTTATAAAACCTCAAAGCAAATAAGAAAAGTAAATCTAAATGTGTTTTCAAGCTTATCCTAAGAGGTAATTATAACTTTCTTGAACCATAAAAATGATGAAAAGTTAATTCTTAGAAAATATTCAAATTAAATCTTAAAAATAAGAGATAATTCTTAATTTGAATTCAAAAAATGTAGCTGATATGGTCTTCCTTCTAGAAGCATTGATTGAATCTTTTAGAAGCTTTCTGACCGGATGTCGCATCAGACGCGTCATGCTCAGAGTTATGCCCACTAATTCAGTATTGACTCCAAAATAAAATAAAAAAACTACAAACTCATTTTTTAATGTAATTTTCAGAATATAATGTCCTGCATAAAAAATAAACTAAAACGAACAAATCAACCACCTACACTAATAAGTAAGGAGCAAATTAAAAACAAAATAATAGCTAAATAAACCATGTATCCGTCTAGTGGAAACTCATCAGAACTTGGTGTTTTTAATGCGTTCTCAAGAACCAAAGCATCGGGAGCAAACACTTTATGGATCTCCTTCTTATGGCCTTAATTCGAGACATTTAGCCTAGTGGTCAAGCCAACAATAGTGAGAACTATTTTTTCTATTGCAGTATCGAAGAAATGGGATCTGCGTCAGGTTGACATTAATAATGCATTTCTCAATTATGACCTTTCTAAGAAAGTGTATATGAATCAACCTCCTGGGTATGAGGTTGGTAACGAAAGGGTGGTTGTTTGCAAGTTGAGGTAGATGACTTATGGTTTGAAGCAAGTCCCGAGGGCGTGGTTTGAAAAACTTTGGGGTTATTTGTTGACTGAAGGGTTTGTGTTCTCAAATTTAGATGCTTCGTTGTTTTTCAGGAAGAATGGTAATAGTTTGGTTTACCTTCTAGTTTATGTTGATGACATCATTATCACATGAAGTGATCATTCTGTTGTTCAACGAATTGTGTCTGATCTTGATAAGGTGTTTTCTTTAAAAGATCTTGGCAAGCTGAATTATTATTTGGGTGTGCATGTTACCTATGACCAGGATAGTCTGTTCTTAAATCAAAGAAAATACATTGAAGATATTCTTTCTTGGTGTGGTCTAGATAAAGCAAAGAGCTTGCCTATTCCTATGGTGTCGAATTGTAAATTGTCCCTTCATAACGGTACACCTATTCTTAATCCCACTAAATATCGAAACATTATGGGTGCCCTGCAATATGTTATCATTACAAGGACAAATATTGCGTTTGCAGTTAATCGAGTTTGTCAGCTTATGGACTGAAGGAGGATGGACCGGTTAGTGGTTTTCTCTAAAACTTTCTAATTACTATATATTTTAGATAGTTTTATTTTTAATTGATAATCTGTTTTCGCCAACCCACCCTAAAAGTTTATAAATTCATCCCTACTAAAATTTTAGAAATTTGTCCCTCTAACATAAGATTCTGTGTCTATCCCTAGGGAAGTCGACCTACCCATAATCTAACAAAACTCAAACTTTATAAAATTATCTCTTGAAATTTTCTTCTTCCAAACTTCAGCCACAAGCCATTTTCCAATTACCTTCTAAAAGCAAACATATGAAACTTTCAATAATAATGTATTCAAATTAATTGGTCTGCGCATTAGCTTCAAGCTGACTTGCAAAGACTCTTGACTTGGACTTCCATGTCCATGAAATATCCACTTAACTTGTTTCTTTACTTTAATAAGGAAAAGAAGAGAGGGAGAAAAGAGGAATAAAAAGAAAGAAATAAAGAAGAAAGGAGGACGAAGGTAAGGCAAATATTATATTCGATAGAAATCAATTAAGAGATGAAAAAACATTTGATCTTTGGTTTAATCGTGAATCATGATCAAGACATTCAATGTGAACACGACAAAGTATCAAATTACTTATTGGAAAAGGTGATCATTCTTTTTCCATGTTTTAAATTACTGTTAGCTTTAATAAAAGGAATAAAGGTGACAAAATATTTTTCACATTCAAAAGATGGAACATCAAGAGTCTTACATATATCTGTATATATAAGTTTAAGGATCTGTGTGTATTTTGTGGCTGTATTTTGAATTGAATGAATCCCTTAGCCTAGTTTCTTCTTGAATGAACATATTTTGCAGTTCATGCACTTTTAACTTATCTTTAATGATATTATAATCCATTTAAAATGTAGAATACTCCGAAGGTAAAGAGTTCAAAATGAACTGCACAGAGAAATTTTTATTCACTTTCATTCTGACAACTTCGTAAGAAGGCTATATTTAGGATCTTTTCACTTAAGTTATTGATTGTCTAAGAGGTCATATATGTTCATATAGATTCATTTAGGAGCATATAGTTGCATGTGGTGGACATATATTTTGTCGTGGTATTTTATTTTGAAAATGGTGTTGCGTTATGGGAAAAGTGCTTTGTTTGATGATGTGCAGGATTTGGGAGCAAGGATGCTTGAGGAGAATTGTCGTGACAAATTGAGGATGTTGAGCAAAATGCGAATGCCACAGTAACTTGGACGACATTTCTAGGTAGAAAAAGACAAAAGAAGATAATTTTATAAAAAGTCAGTTGTCCTTGTCTGCATGTGCCCTTAGCAGTATGCCACTTAGGAGGGGACCACTGCCACTTTTGTACCACCCCTCACGTGAAAGGAATAAAACTTGGGGTATCATAGGAATTTTGACACAAATCCCTAGGTTCTTAACATGGCTATGACACCACATATTAGAATTACTTAATTGATACAAAACAGTTATGCATTTTGATTTAAGGATAGTAGAGTATTATGATTTCCACAATTAGAATAAGTAATCAAGAAAAACATACCTTGATCCATCGAATTGATTTTGTATAAAACTTTTGTTGAAATAAATCGATTAGGAAGAACTTGGTTTCTCTCATTTGACCCGTTAGTGTTAACCTGTTCATGTTAACATCACATCTCTTAATATTAACATTATGTCTCTTCATATTAACGTAACATCAATGTAAATTAAAATGTATCTCTTTAATAAACCAATATGATTTAATATTATTAAATACAATTACTATTATATCTACATATACAAATATAAATACAAAATATAAAATTATCCAATATTTTCTTTGATTAACTGACTAATCAAAACAATTTAATGTTATCCCATAACCTTCTTTTAGTAAAAGAATGGAAGAATAAAAAACAATTTAATAAAAAATACAAAAAAAAATGGAAAGGGGAAAATCAGATGCTGCTCTGAGTGGTTATTTCCTTGCTTGAGCGTTCACTTCCTTTCGTTAATTTAATAATGGATTTCAGAGGGAAAATAAGATGCAAACCCTACCTGGGATAATTGATTAGTTGGGATTAGCTTACAAGCCCACTCTTGAACGGTTTTAGGGGCTTGAGCGTACTATGGGTGAAAGAGCTCATCTTCGATCCCTGGTTTTATCAAACCAGAAAAACTACCAGGGTTTCTAGCTTTCACTTTCAGACCTTCACTTCATTTACTTTCGGCGGAAGCTTTTGTCGTATGCTTTCGATACATCCTTTGGAACCTGAGTGGTTCTTTCCTCTCGTAGGGAAAGAAAAGGAATTTCATAATTAGGGATGGATCGAGGGGTGCGATTGCAATCCTAAAAATTTTAAAATCTCTTATATTTTAGGTTTTTTTGTATTTTATATTGATTATTTAATTTCGCACCTTCTTAAATTTTAATATAATTTTTTAAGTTCGCACCCCTGATATAAATTCGTGCGTATGTCCTTAACCCAATGTTTCAAATTACTTTTAAGGAAATGGGCCATTCTTTTCCAATTTTCAAATTAATTTGTTCTTTGGAAAGGTGGCCATTTCTTTCCAATGTTTCAAATTACTTTTTTGGAGAAGGCTAATGACTATTTTATACACCATTCATCAATTCATCGCCTTTCAATCTATAAATTCAATCAAACACCTTCCAATTAAACTCATTATAAAAAAAAACTACTGTGGACCTTGAGACCAAGTATTTAAAGAAATGAATTAACAGTATGAAAGTATCAAGCTCGTCTGTTTCCTTATTATTCACACCCAACCTTATGGCAAAAACTCCCTTCCTCCCTCTTATGTTTCTGCTGCTATTTGCAACCTTTGGGACTACTTTCTCTGCAAATTTACCCAACATCACCACTGATGAATCCGCCCTTTTAGCCTTAAAATCTCATATAACTCATGATCCCCACAATATCTTAGCAACCAATTGGTCCACTTCTATCTCTGTTTGTAATTGGATTGGTGTCACCTGTGGGTCCAAACACCATAGAGTCATTGCTCTGGATTTGTCAAGTATGGATCTCACAGGCACCATCCCATCTCACTTGGGAAATTTATCTTCCCTGGCCTCACTCGACGTAAGTGACAATAGTTTCCATGGCTCTTTACTCATCGAGTTAACTAATTTGCATCGGCTGAAGTATTTGAACTTTTGTAACAACAACTTCGATGGAGAAATCCCATCATGGTTTGGTTACTTTGCTCAACTTCAAGGCCTGTTGTTGTACGGTAACAACTTCACCGGCGTTATCCCATTCGCTCTAGGGAATTTGTCAAAACTAGAAACGTTGAGCTTGTACAACAACAATTTCAAAGGACAGATTCCTATAACGATGGGAAATCTTTCAAATTTGAAATGGTTATATCTGTATAATAATTCTCTTTCAGGTTCCTCACCTTTCTCGATCTTAAATATATTTTCATTAGTAAAATAACCGTCGTAGAACTAACAATTTCATTGCAGGCCATCTACCATCGGAGATATTTTACGACCTTCCTGAATTACAAGAACTTAACTTACGAGGGAATCGTATTTCTGGTAGAATTCCAAATAGTTTATTCAAGTGCAAAGAGTTAGACATTTTTATTATTGAATAGAAACTATTTGGAGGGAAGCATACCTATAGAAATGGAAAATTTGACTTTGCTCGACACATTGGATCTTGCTTTGAACCACCTCCAAGGCAAACGATTCCTCATCTTCATTTCATTTTATTCTCGTCTAATTTCTATAAACAGTTGTTTTAAATATTGAAGTATGACTTTAGGATCTTTAGGAAAAATATTATTCTGATAGGTTTAATTATATTTTGTAGGTGTAATTCCAAATGTTTTTGGAAACCTGACTTCTCTCAGTTATATGGATCTTTCTTTTAACAGCTTTACAGGTATAATATCTTGTTTATGTTCTTTTTTCTGTTTTAATTGTGTTAAAACTTTGTTATATATTATTAATGCATTTTCATATGATATTCGAGTTGTTTTTGTTTCATGATTTTGTTGTTGTTTTTGTTTTTGGATTATGCGTTTGTGTGCATTTCTCTCAGTTCTGCATTTGTATTCAAGGGGGTTGTTAGTATTTTTCTTTGTAGGTGTTTCTTTTGTAACCATGATCATCATTATGTGATCTTTTTCCCTTCTATTTGGAGGGATTTTTTTAACGAGGCATAAGGTGGTCTTGTTCGATTTTTTCTTTAATAAAAATCTTACACTGCTGAGCAAATATATATATATATATATATGATATTCGAGTTAGTCGTAATTATATAATACTTTTGGCTTAGAAAAGAAAGAGAGATTGATTACACTTGCGACACTTTAACTACTTTGATGTTAGAGAAACGTAGGAAATATTGGTAGAAGAAAAAAATCAATAATTCCAATTACTAATATTTTATTTACATTTTTTGTTTCAATTAATTTTTGAACTCCTAATTCTAACTCTTTTCCAAATTTTCTGTAAGGGCAAATTCCTTCCTCAATCTGCAATTTGAGTTCCCTTAAGGTTCTCTGTTTGATGAAGAATAGTTTGGTTGGAGAAATTCCAGAGTGCATTGGAAACATGAGTTCATCTCTTTCACACATCGACTTGGAGAATAATAATTTTCATGGTAAATTACCAGAAAATTTTGCTAACAACTGCGCGTTACAAAGTTTTCGAATCAACAACAACCAAGTAGAAGGGTCACTACCACGATCTTTGAGTAATTGCAAAGATTATTTGGAACTTCTTGATGTTGGAAACAACTAATTGAATGACACCTTCCCAAATTGGTTAGGAAATTTGGATAAGTTACAAGTGCTTATCGTGAGATCGAACAAGTTCTATGGTCAAGTGGATAGTTATGATGTTACCTTCGCTCGTTTGCCTATCATTGATGTTTCTTACAATAACTTCAGTGGTTATTTACCAACCAAATTTTTCGAAAATTTGCATGACATTAGAGAAGGGAATGAAAAGAAAGTTGAACCAAAGTACATGATAGATACATCGACGGGTACAACGGTGTATTATGCCTTCGACTTATCTTTTACAACAAAAGGATTGGAAACAAAGTTCGAGAAGCTATGAACCATACGGACAGCTATTGACTTTTCCAACAATCAATTCTTCGGAGAAATTCCTGAAACACTTGGTGAGCTCCACTCACTTATTGTCCTAAATCTATCTCATAACTGTTTAACAGGTCCTACCCCAACATCATTAGGTGATTTGTCGGAGCTTGAATCATTAGATCTCTCATCAAACAAGCTCCGAGGAAGAATTCCGACTGAGTTAAAAGCTCTTGGATTCTTAGAGGTGTTAAACCTTTCCCAGAATTCTCTTAAGGGACTCATTCCTAAAGGCAAACAATTTGATACTTTCACTAATGACTCCTACATAGGAAACCCGGGTTTGTGCGGGTTGCCATTATCAAAAAGCTGTGATACTGATGCGGAAATTCCAGCAAAATTTGTTCAGATGCTGATGATGACGACGAATTGCAATGGAAGTTTTCTTTATTATTGGGGTATGGATGTGGGTTGATGCTAGGATTGAGCATGGCATACATTGTATTCACAACGGGAAAACCATGGTCGTTCATTAGGATTTACGAGAGAGTTCGACAAAGGTTTGCAAAAAGATAGAGAAGTGAACTCTTGGCAAATTTTTTGTTGCAAAGCAAGTTGTGGACAGCGCAGAAAACGTCATTCCATGGCAGGTCTTTATATATCGATGTTTTATATCTATGCTGCGTAGGCGGTTTATTGTATGACGTGCTGTTTGTATATATAATATTTTCCTAAGGACCACTCTCATGGCTTTGATGACCCCTTGTGTGTTTCTGCTGGAATTGAATTTTCTAAAGATTTCTGAATTGAATTTGAATCATTATTTGATCTAATACATGATATTTGTTTTAACTTTAAAATTCAATCTCAGGAACGAGATCAAATTCCATTTCATATGCAACTTTTTTCATGGGAGGTTGTATTTGTGGTTTGATGTTCTGTAAATGATTAGGGTAAATTACCTATTTAGTTATTTAACTATTATTTTGCTTATGTTTTGATCACTCAATTTTTATTTTTCCCCCCAAAAATCATGTATAAATTTATGTTTTATTTTTATTTTGGTCACCCACTGAAATTAACAATAATGCTGACATGTCAGTAGTTAAGGGATTTGTTGTTATTCCTGGAGGTTCCAAATTTAAGTACCACGTATGCAAGCATTTACTGTCAAAGGGTTAAGAGTCTTGAATTGAAACAAATACTACCATATATTCACCGTAAATTTACTTTTTAAAAAATTCAACATCAATATTTCTTTTGGTTAATTTTATTCAACTAACTGAACCCGTGCCCTCTTGTCAAAGGGTCCAGCCCTATACCATTAAGCTAGGCCTTCTACCATGCCCGTGCCTCAGGCCGTCGCAAACAGAATCTGATACGGGGTATTTATGATGAATACTTGGCCTCCGAGCCAGCTAACGGAGTCCGCAGGTCACACATCATTTGTTTCCTGATGATAGTCTGCTATTTGTCTGCAATTCTATTCCGAAGATGGAGCCGTTATGAGAGGTGTTGTATACATATGAGCGGGCTTCGGAGCAGAAAATTAATTACAGTAAGTTAAATGTTTACTTCAGCCATCACTCTTCTAAGGCTTCATCACGACATGCCTGTTGTAATATTTTGGGGACATCTGAAGTTGCGGAACCATGCAAATACTTGGGATTGCCGCTTATTATTGGAGGTAGCCGCTTAGAGCCGTTTGGGTATATTATCAGGGGTGAGCAAAATTCGATTTGATTTGAAAAATCAATTTTTTTCGACTCAATTTGATTGAAAAAAAACTCGACTCCAGTTGAGTTCGAGTTGTAACTTCAGAAACTCGACTCGAGAAAGTTTCAAGTTTAAATCGATTTTGTAAAATACATCTCGAATAATTTAAAATTTTTAGTAGATTGATTTTTCAAGTTTGAGTCGAGTCTCTTGACTCTAAATGATATATGTATATCTTATATGAAAAAAATAGGAAGAAATATATATATGTATTTATAGATACGCATTTTCATCTATTAATGTTTGCTTAGTGTTGGCTATTCAAATATGTAGGTTAATTAATTGATATATATATATAGGTATGTATGAATATATATATATATATATATATATATATATATATATATATATATTGTTATTTATCATATACTATAATTATTCCTCTATTGTGGCAGGCCCAAATTACAAGTGATCCAAAGCAAATGACCTAACTAGCAACGCCCAAGAAGTAGCAGCCCAACCGGTTGGAGGCCCAACAGCAACCCAAATGTTTAGAGTTTGGAGAAACTCTAGCTACCATCAAGCCTTCAGCGCTGCCAATCGTCAACCATTGGATGAAGGACACATCCAATGGCCCATATGCAGCTGAAGTTAAGGTTTTAACCTAAGGGATACCAGACGCCGCCACCATTGAATCTCAACCGTCTAATCCATTAGCTCGTGTGATACATGCTTGCATCATCGAATGCTCCATGCGCCGCTCGTGCCATCTTCAATCGGGACACGTTTAAATCTGGTCCCCACGTGATTCACGTTGCCACGATGGCTCGACCAGCTCAGATGTGCCCGAGCTCGTGCGAGTCTGTTATGCTTCCTCTGCCATAGCAGTAGCAGATTGGCAGAGGGCTCCTCATCACAAAACTCCAACAAAGAACATTAGGATCATTTGGAGGCTCTCCCTCAGCCCTTGATTGAGCCACCTCGTCAAGATCAACAGAGGACACTCCCCTTTTCATCTCCCTCGCATGCTAGCAAAGAAAAGAACAAATATCAGAAAGAAAATAAAAAAAGGAAAGGAAAAACCTTGTCGGTTGGGGATATGGAAGCCAAGAGAAAAAAACACGAGGGGCATCATTTTTCTCATCAGCAACACAGCAAAAAAAACCACATCCCTTTCTCATCAACGAGACAACAACACACAACAAAAAGAGAGGTCCTTTTTGACACAACCAATATAATCAAAAGCAACCAAAGAAAAAAAAGGAGCCTTTTTATGTTAGAGGAAAAACCCTAAAAGAGAAAAATATTGCATTTCTCGCCCGAAAAGGAGCGTCACCATCCATTGGAGCCAAAACAACATTGAGCAATCAGAGGTAACGATTTTGTTGAGCTTGTTTGGGGATTGAGGGGTCGTTTTAGTCGGGGTCTAGTCATTTCAGGGTTTGAACTCAAAGGGTGGTCACTCGATAGCCTTTTTAGCCCCTCCTCGGGGCTGTTAGGTGTTGGCAGCCACGACAGTTGCCTTAGCAGATAGAGAAGGAAAATGAAAGAGAGAGAGGAGAGTTAGAGAGAAACGACTGCTTAGGGGGAAAATGAAATCACAAATGAGGGCTAGGGTAAATTTTTACCCAAAAGAATTCATATACCGCCGCCAAAACGGCGGATTTTAAAGTTTTTACACTATCTGGTTGGGGGTTAATCGCGCGAGGACTCTATATGGTTTCAAGTTGTTATATTTTGGTCTTCAAATTGAGGATTTTAAAGTTTTTCATTTTTTCTCCAAATTTTCGTGTTTTACACTTTAGTCCTAGGCTTGGTTATTTTAAAATATTTGCTGCTTTTCACATTTGACATGTAATTTTGTGAATTTCCATTTGAGTCCATACTATATGTTTGCTTATATTTCGCACTGTTTATGTTTTTGGCATGTCATTTCTCGAACTTTCATTATAGTCTCCACATGCTTATGGGTTTATTTTGATTTTGGTGCCTGAAATATATGACTTTTGTGCTTTACGACTTACGTTTGTTTAACTTACTGATTAAGTCCTTTAGCTTGTTGTTTTTTAAATTTGGTCACATGCTCGATAAACCCATTTAATTTTCATTATTTCCATTTCTGTACCCAAATTGTTACGATATGTGTACATATATTTTATTCAGTCTAAATTAAAATATTACTAGTTATTTTAATATGCATGTAAATGGACAACTTATGAAACACATGACATCATTTTTTGCATAATATGTATGATACCCTCACAAGCATAACTAGCCCCGATTCAAATAATTAGATTAAGAGTAATAACTTTTTATTTTAGGGTTGTTGTGAAGTGACTGTCTTAACGTATAAGAAAGTCATTTCGGATAATTTTAAGATGAAAGCGTTTCATATAAAGTAAAACCCTAAAAATTGATTACAACTAAAATTTGGGAATGAGAGAAAAAAATGTTTGTCTATTTAAAGTCATCGAGAAAAGATCGTTAGAACTTATAAAAGGTCCAATCTCGACATCTTTAATAGTCGAACATCCTTCTTCTTTTTAAAAGGATGGATAATTTATAATTTAAATTGATTTATTTTATCTTTGTTCATGCATTTTGAAATTTGATTCAATAATGCAATTTCGAATGGGATAGTAATATTTCTTTATTTCGATTGGAGTAAGAACTAATTGCTTTAAGGCATGAGAGGTCTTTTATTCTCGATAAGAAATAATTAAATATTGCAGTTTTTCGTCCTAAAATTCAAGGAATATTATTTAAAGGGGTCTTAAATTAAATTAAATTTGAACTTATAAATTTCATTGCAAAGACAACTAATTAATCGACTAGGTACCGATTTAGGGCGTTGTGTGGTGCTAACCATTCCTCATGCATAACCAACTTAATTCTTTGGAACGTAGACCTAAAAATGTTGTTAAAATAAAATTAAAATTAATTTTTTTTATAAAAATGACAACCGTTTTTTGTGCTCAATCACATCCGAATCAAATATTAGTAGCAACTCCTCGAACTATTTTTTTTATTTTAAAAGAAAACGCCAAATTAATCGAGACGGGATTTTTTAAATCACACCTAATAATTATATTTTAAGAAATCGTTTCGATATTATTGTATATGGTTATAAAAATCATTTAAATTAGAATATAATAATATCATAATATTATAAATATTTACAATTAAATTTAAATAAAAACTCAAAAATCTGACTGGACAAAAATTTTCAAAAAGATAGAGAAGTGAGTTCATGGCAAATTTTTTTTTTGTTGCAAAACAAGTTGTGGACAGAGCAGAAAATTATAATGCATGGCAGTAGGCAGTAGGCAGTAGGCAGTAGGCAGTAGGCAGTAGGCAGTAGTAGGCAGTAGGCAGGCCTTTGCCTATAGTTGTTTTATATCTTATATCTATGCTGCCTTGCCGCTTTATTGAATGACGAAAGAAAGCAGAGTTCTCATCCCAACCAATTCATTCTTGATGTTTGGAGCCCTACATCCTCCTTCATTTTTCAACAAATCCCAAATCTTTTTGGTTCCTTTTTTTTAGTTCCTCACACTCCAAGTCATTCAAACATCATTATCTCCTTACACTTCAAGCTCATTTATCCTTGACTCCACCTGCACTTTATTATCTACATTCCTAAAGGACTTTTTTCCCACTTTTGCAGTGCTCCTTTAACTCTTCGCAGCTTTGCAGCCAAAACGTGTCCAATCGAACCAACATCCACGAGCGCCTCCTTAATTATCTCTTAACATCTCT